TATGCTCAAGAGCTGCCTCCTTAGAAAAGTATCCCTGACTACCCATCACACACCCAGTCCTCTAAGCAAAATAGTCACTATCTTTTCTCTGATGCTGAAGACTTTTTACAAGGACCCTTATTTCCTATGTTGTAATCAGTATTTTTTAATATACCATGAAATTTTTGACTATTAAAAGGATATCTTAGTCACTGCTCAATATTTAACAATAGAATTTTCTTGATAGCATTCTCTTCTCCAAACTAAATGTATGCACCACTTCTCATCATTCCATGTGTAAAAGTTTTTGAAATCCCTTAAACAACCTGGCCACACTCCCTGGATGCTCTTTGCTTAGTAAATGCCCCCATGCCTCAAAAATAACATTCAACATTTGAGCTAAATCTGTTTATCTGAAGCAGACCTACAGAGCTCTCCAGGGTTTATGCCATTCTGATCCCTTGTATTTAAAACCAACTTATGTTTCTGTGAACAACTAAGCATCTTGGATATTATATAAGATAGATTAACACTTTTACACTGTTGGTGGGAGTGTAAATTAGTTCAACCATTGTGGAACACAGTGTGGTGATTCCTCAAGGATCTAGAAATAGCAACACCATTTGACCCAGCAATCCCATTACTGGGTATATACCCAAAGGATTATAAATTGTTCTGTTATAAAGACACATGCACACATGTATTCACTGCAGCACTGTTTACAATAGCAAAGACTTGGAACCAACCCAAATGCCCATCGGTGATAACAAAATGCCCATCACTAAGAAAATGTGGCACATATACATCATGAAATACTATGCAGCTATAAAAAGGATGAGTTCATGTCCTTTGTAGGGACATGGATGAAGCTGGAAACCATCATTCTCAGCAAACTGACACAAGAATAGAAAACAAAACACCACATGTTCTCACTCATAAGTGGGTGTCAAACAATAAGATCACATGGAAACAGGGAGGGGAACATCACACACTGGGTTCTGTTGGAGGATGTGGGGGCTAGGGGAGGGATACTAGGGGGTAGGAGGATTGGGGAGGGATAACATTAGGCGAGATACCTAATGTAGGTGATGGCAGGGGGATAGATGCAGTAAACCACCATGGCATGTGTATACCATACCTATGTAACAATCCTGCATGATCTGCACATGTACCCCAGAACTTAAAGTATAATAAAATAAAGAAAACAATAACTTTTTAAAAAGGTGTTTCTTGTGTAGCGTCCTCAAATGCATTTACACATGTGTCACACATAAATGGGGGTTGTTTCACAATTACTTTGGGTATGCTCTGGGTTATATCAGTATTAACAGACTTCTTTCTTTTTAAGACAGTTTGCAAATTCTAATATAGAAATCATGACTCTCCAAGACCTAGAATGTAATACGCAACATTTCCCAAACATTTGATCATACCACATTGCTTTCATAATGCATCTTGAAGAAACATCTTCTGAGAATACTTTGTACAATTCCTTCTAGAATCTATAGAGGAGTAAGCAGATCATTGTGATCTAAGGAAATAAGAACAAAGGAAGCATCCCAGGGTGAGACACAAGTTCAAACATGGGATACAAGTACAGGGGGTGTAAGGGAAAGCTTCTAGAGAGAAGAAATACTCAATAGAAATCTCCAAGGACAAGTCTAAGTTAAGTGAAAAGAAGGAAGTCAGTGGTGAGGTTTTCAGAAAGAAAAAGAAAGAAGCTTACTATGCACAGTGGCTTTTCATGGTCAGAATGGCAGTCACATCTACATTAGCCGGAGAAACCATAGGAAAACATCATGTGAAAAAAAAATCACAAAAAAATTTCATTAGAAGCCCTTAAGTTCCAATGAGACTCTGACTGCTATCAGTCAGGAATTCTCCCTACCCCCAAACTTACTCTTCCAAAAAGTATACAAAACCAAGAAGAATGAAAAATTGGAATTAAATAAAAACATTTTCAATGAAGCTAGATAACGTATAATCTGCAGATCCCTAAATGTAACTATGAGTTGCTAAAAACAATAAGATTGAGAAGTTATAAGGAAGTTAAAAAGGAGTCAAATAACAGAAAGTGGTACTTGTCCATTGTTGCATTGAGTTCCAGAAAGGGCCAGCAAAAACACAGCTTTCTAAAAATGGAAGACCTATTCTGAAATCTAAAAACTGTAATTTTTGTTTACAAGGATGTGTGACCTGTGTTGAGTAAGACAGGAAAGGGTTTGATTTGAAGTAGCCAAAAATGAGGGGCTCTAAAAAAAAGTCACACAAACAAGCCATATTTGCAGGAAGCTCTCTGCTTCTGTGGCAGAAACTTGTGGAGAAATATTCTATGTAAGAATTATGCTATGTGGTGATCACTTCCCCCACATAACTGTAATGAGCTCTACAGAAAATAGCTGGATACACAAATTTAATAGTAACTAACTTAATAAAAAAGAAACAAGTACAGGTATAACTCAGAGATGTTGCAGATTTGGTTTCAGATCACCACAGTAAAGCAAGTTACGTGAGTTTTTTGGCATCCCAGTGCATATAAAAGTTATGTTTATACTATACTGTAGTCTATTAAATGTCTAGTAGCATTATGTATAAAAAACAATATACGTGCCTTGATTTAAAAATAATTTATTTGCTAAAAAATGCTAATAATCATCTTGGCTTTGAGTAAGTTGTAAGCTTCTTGCAGATGGAGGGTTTTGCTCTACTTTGATGGCTGCTGACTGACTAGAGTGGTTGTGGCCTAAAGTTGGGGCATCTGTGGCAATTTCTTAAAATAGGACAAGGAAGTTTGCTGCATCAGTTGATTGTTCATTTCATCAAATATTTCTCTAGTATGCAATGCTGTTTGATAGCATTTTACCCACAGTAGAACTTTCTTGAAAATTAGAATCAATCCTCCCAAACCCTGCCATCGCTCTCTACCAACAACTTTATGTACTATTCTAAGTCCTTTGTTGTCATTTCAACAATGCTCGCGGGATCTTCACCAGAAGTAGATTCCATCTAAAGAAACCTCTTTCTATGCACATCCATAAAAGCCGCTTCTCATTTGTTCAAGTTTTATCATGAGATTACAACAATTTAGTCCCAACTTCAGGCTCTACTTCTTATGCTCTTCTAGTCCTCTTTCCATCTCCACCACATCTGCAGTTACTTCATTCACTGGCATCTTGAACCCCTCAAAGTCATCTGTTAGGGTTGGAACCATCTCCTTCCAAACTTCTGTTAATGTTGATATGTTGATCTCCTGCCATGAATCATGAATGTTGTTAATGGCATCTAGAATGGTAAACCCTTTTCAAAAGTCTTTATGTTGACTTTGCCCAGATTCATCAAAGGAATCACTAGGGCAGCTGTAGCACTATGTAATATATTTCTTAAATGATACAATTTGAAAGTCAGAATTACTCCTTGATCCATGAGCTGCAGAGCAAATGTTGCATTAGCATCCAGGAAAGCAACATTAATCTTCTGTACATCTCCATCAGACCTCTTGGGTAACCCAGGGCATTGCCAATGAGCAGTAATATTTTGATAGGACTCTTAATTCTGAGAAATAGATCTCAACAGTGGGCTTAAAATATTCAGTAAATGAACCTCTAGATGAGATGGGATCTCATCTAGAGCTTGTTTTTTTCATTTATAAAGCACAGGAAGAGTATAGAGAGCATAATTCTGAAGGCCCTAAGATTTTCGGAATGGTCAATGAACATTGGCTTCAACTTAGTCACCAGTTGAGTTAGCTCCTAACAGCAGAGTCAGCCCATCCTTTGAAGCCAGTCATTGACTTCTCTCCAGCTTTGAAAGTCCTACATGACATCTTCTTGCAATAGAAGACTTCTTTGTCTACATTGAAAATCTCCTGTTTCATGTATCCACCTTCATCAGTTATGTTAGCTGAATCTTCTGGACAGCTTGCTGTAGCTTCTACAGCAGGAGTTGCTGCTTCACCTTGCATTTCTATGTTATGGAGACCACTTCTTCCTTAGCCTCTCCTAGATTTGAATCTTTGCTAGCTTCCTTGCCTCTATCAGCCTTCACAGAATTGAAGAGAATTGGAGACTTGCTCTGTATTAGGATTTGGTTTAAGGAAATGTTGTGGCTGATCTATTCAGACCACTAAAACTTTCTTCATTTAGGAATAAGGATGTATCACTTTCTTATTATTTGCATGTTCACTGGAGTAGCACTTCAGTTTCCTTCAAGAATTCTTTCTGTGCATTCACAACTTGGCTAAACAATCGGTGCAAGAGGCCTAGCTTTCAAACCTATCTCACCTTTCTACATGCCTTCCTCACTAATGTTAGTAATTTCTAGTTTTTCATTAAAGTAAGAGATATGGTTAGGTGTGGTGGCTCACTCCTATAATCTCAGAACTTTGGGGAGGCCAAGGCAGCTGGATCACTTGAGATCAGGAGTTCAAAACCAGCAGGGATAACATAGTGAAACCCTGTCTTTACTAAAAGTACAAAAAAATTAGCTGGGCATAGTGGTGGGTGCCTGTAATCCCAGCTACTAGGGAGGCTGAGGCAGAAGAATTGCTTGAACCCAGGAGGTGGAGGTTGCAGTGAGCCAGTGTACTCCAGCCTGGGTGACAGAGCAAGACTCCATCTCAAAAATAAGTAAATAAACAAATAAAGTGAGAGAAATACTTCATTTCCCTCAAACTCTTAGTGGCCATTGTGACATTATTAACTGGCCTAATTTAATACTGTTGTGTCTCAGGGAATAGGGAGACCTGAGGACAGAAACAAATGTAAAACAGCTGATTAGTAGAATCATCAGAATATATACATTTGTAGATTAAGTTTGATAAAGAATTTTTACAGTTTAAGTTCTATGGAGAACATTTATAGATTAAGTTCTATTAAGATGGGTGCAGTTCACAGTGTCCCAAAACATTTGAAATATAATAGTAATATCAAAGATTACTAATCACAAAATACCAAAACAGATATACAAATAATAAAAAAGCTTGAAATATTGTGAGAATTACTAAAATATGACATAGACAATAAGTGAGTACATACTAATGGAAAAATTATGCCTATAGACTTGCTCGATGCAGGGTTGCCACAGACCTTTAATCTGGGGAAAAAATGCAGTATCTGCAAAGCACAGGAAAGCAAAGCACAATAAAATGAGGCATGTCTGAACAAAATCAGTACAGGGCAATATAAAGAAAAAAAATCAAAAACAAAAAGAAACACAGCAGAGAAAAAGGAGAAAAAATCAAACAGAAAAAAGTAATTCTTATAATACATGCATTAAATCAAACTGTGAAGCTGTAATAACTAAAACAGGAGGTAGTGATATGAGTAGACAGATGGAGGAACAGATTAGTAAATTCAGAAGCTGACCCAAATACACATGTGAATTTAGTATATGGCAAAGATGTCATTTCAAGGCAGCATGAAAAAGAGGTACTGTTTAATAAATGGTATTAAAGCAGCTAGGTGAACATCCAAAAATGTTTACATCAAATCCATACTCCACCCCATGCACCAAGACAAATTTTAAATAGAACAAAAGTTTCAAATCTTACCAAACATTGCTAAAAACAAAACTTCATAATGTGTACGTACTTCCATCACTAGCCATCTATAAGGATATTTGATGTCACAGCAATTGATGTTTTCAACATTTTTAATGTTTGAAAATCAAATGAGTAGAATATGGCACCTTGTTTTACACTTGCATTTCTCTGGTTACTGCACTTTAAACATATTTTAATGTGTTTATTGACCATCTGAATTCCCTCTTTTGTGAATTTGCCTGTTTGAATCTTTGTCTACTTTTTTATTTGTTTGTTTGTCTTTTTCATATTTATTATTTTAAGATTTCTTTTTACTTTCTAGAAAACAATCCAGGTTTGCTCTGTGTGAGGCAATTATTTTCTTCTGTATCATTGCTTATCTTTTAATTGTATAGATAATATCTTCTGATGTACACCTGTTTTAAATTTCAATGGAGTCAAGTTGTCATTCTTTTCCTTTGTGATTTTGTGTGTGTGTGTGTCTTGTCAAAGAGGACTTCCTGACTTCAGGGTCAAAATGATATTCTGTATTTTATTCAGAAAAGGAGAGGAGAAAAGAGAGGAGAAGGAGAAAGAAAACAAATATTTAATTTTTATTATATGTATTTGATTCCTATAGTATAGCAAAGCATATAAGAAAAATAAAAGACAAATGACAAACTAAGGGTAATATCTGTCATGTATATCACAGACCAATCTTTAAAATATAAAAACAATGCTAGAAAGCCACAAGAATATATCACAGTGCAAAAGATAATTGTCAAAATACATTATCAGTTGACAATAATAGAACTGTTGATAGAAAATGAAATACAAAAGAAACTTAATTGCATAATAACAGAAATACTAACTTAAAATAAGCTATAAGTCTGTTTCATCTAATAGAGTAACAAAAACCCTTAAATTTTGACAACAGCCCATCGACAAGGCAATGGAAAAACATACTTTCAATTATTGCTGGTGAGAATATAAATTGGCACAAGGCCTATGGAAGGCAATTTGAAATTTTTTTCTGAATTACAAATATATACAACTGTTTACTCAGCAGCTCTATTTCTGGCAATGTATATTAAACTTACACATATGAAAATAAACAGTATTATTCATTGCAGTACTGTGAGAGCAAAAAATTGGACTATTTTAAATTGTCAACAGAGATCTGATTAGAAAAAGTATATCTGTACAACAGCATGCTATGCAGCTGTAAAAAAGAATGAGGAAGCTTTCCATATACTGATACATGAAGATCTGTGAAATGCATTTTATGTTTTTTGTTTGGGGTTTTTAAATGAAAGTTATATATATTCAAGATTTACAATGTGGTGTTTTGATATACATAGTGAGCTGATTACTACGGTTAAGCTAATTAATATATCCATCTTTTCATGTGGTTTTCTTTTCTCTGTGTGTAGGAGAGTGGCAAGAACATTAAAGATCTGCTGTCTTAGCACATTTCAAGCATACAATATAGTATTATTAACTATTATCATCATGCTGTGGGCTGCAGCATTATTCACAATAACCAAGATATGAATAAATTATTACACACACACACGCACAACACACACATAAAGTGGAATATTATTCAGCCTTAAAAAAGAAAGCCTGCCATTTGCAACAACAGGGATGAACCTGTGGAACATTATGCTAAGTGAAATAAGCCCACACAGTAAAATACTGCATGATCTCACTTACAGGTAGAATCATAAAAAGTTGAATTTATAGAAACAGAGTTGAATGCTGGTTACCAGGGATGGAGAAGTGGGGGAAAGGGGGAGGCCCTGGTCAAGGGACACAAAGTTTCAGTTGTATAGGATGAATAAATTCTGGAGGTCTACCGTCCAGCATGATAACTCTAGTTGATAATACTGGGATGATACTAGTTGATAAATGGGACCTGTATTGTAAATTTAACATAACAACTTGTGGAAAAAAATGGGTAGGAGACAGAGTTTTGTGCAAAGCCAGGAAAGATAAGAATATATCACTTATTTGCTTGCATTTCCCTAAAGAAACTCTTGGAGAATACAAAACAAGCTAATTACAGTGGTTACCGATGTATGAATAAGGGGCAGGAGGTAAATGAGGAAAAAGAGAACAAGGAAAGCGAGGCTTTGCAGACTACACATATTTACATTTTAAAAAATTTTTGAAGCATGATTGTATTGCCTATCCAATGTATTTAATTTAAAAATAAATTTATATTAAAACAACTAAACTCAATGATATTAATTTAATTCAAAAAATAGAAGACAAACAATAAAGGTGACACCTTTGGCTATCTTTCTCCATCTCAGAGTTTGAAAAATTGTAGATATTCAATGGAGAAGTGGTCCTCTGATTAAAGCATGATGCTATTTTTATGTGTCAAAACAAATTAAGTTTCCTATGATATTTCAGGACAGAAATTATAAATTAAAAATATATTTTTCTAAAGGATCTATAAAGGGATGAAACAATTTATGGTAAGCTGAAGCAATGAAGAGATTCCATGCAATACAAAAATGTCAACTTCAAATTAATCTGAAGATCACATATAAAGGGAAGAAAACAACTTTACCATTAAATGATCAACTGACAACATGAAGCAGAATATAGTGAAATGCATAGCATTTCATTATCACATCTATTTCTTGCAATTCAGAAAAACCATAAAGAATATCTTCCAAATCTTTAATTTAATGCATAACACTGTGACACATTTCTAAGGTAAATTTTAAAATGAGTTAGCCTCATGAGGCCAAGTGACATATTGTCACAGATTTAAAGGAAAATGCTGTCTCTGTTAAGATCTTATAATATATATAATAAAGAAACACACAGAATAAGGTTAGACAAATTTGAGAATTTTGTTATCACCTTAACATCATGGTGTTAATGCATATGTAACCACAAATATTTGAACTATTTCTTCCATTATATCAGATGACAAGAAAGGTGCCTGAAAATTGTCTTATTTGTTGAGGTAAATTAAATGATGTCAGATCAATGAATGATGTGCTTATCATTATAGAATCTAGATGTTCAGAGTATCATGGGCTAAAACAACATTTGTAATGGTGTGAAAATGAAATACGTCAACATTGAAAAGATTTATTTCCCTGAAAGGATTTATTTTTACAGTTACTCTTTTTCTGTTGGACTAGCTGGCTTATGATTCTTGTCTGCAGAAAAAGAACCTGAAAAAAATAACTGTCACTTTAATTAAGCACAACAAAGGTAGAAAAACAAAGGGAGCATTCAAAATGGATCAATGGGTGGTAGGAAAGTCATTCAGGAACATCCTTGTGTTTGTTAGTTCACCTATAACTTTAAGAACTAAGTCTTGTTCTCATAGAAGCACATACTTGGTGTACCAGAAGGAATGACCACAGGATGGGGCCAAAGGCGAAGACAGTTGAAAATGAGCTGAAAACCTTACTATAAAGGGAAAAAAGGAAAGTGACATTCTCAGGACATTTGACTACAGATCCTGTGGAAGTAATATCATTTAGTTTTTATTGACTTTTTCTTAAACTTTGGCATTTTTACATGGTTCTGTGGTACATGTGCAGAACGTGCAGAACATGCAGGTTTGTTACATAGGTATACATGTACCACAGTGGTTTGCTGCATCCATCACCCCGACATCTACATTAGGTATTTCTCCTAATACTATCCCTCCCCAGTCCTTCTACCCCATGCTATCTCACCCCTAGACCCTCACCCCCCAACAGGACCCAGTGTGTGATATTCCCCTCCCTGTGTCCATGTGTTCTTATTGTCAATACCCGCTTATGAAAGAGAACATGCGGTGTTTGGTTTTCTGTTCTTGTGTTAGTTTTCTGAGAATGAGATGGTTTCTAGCTTTATCCATGTTCCTGCAAAGGACATGAACTCATCCTTTTTATGGCTGCATAGTATTCCATGGTATATATGTGCCTCGTTTTCTTTATCCAGTCTATCATTAACAGGCATTTGGGTTGGTTCCAAGTCTTTGCTATTGTGAACAGTACCGCAATAAACATATGTGTACATGTGTCTTTATGATCTATAATAGAATGATTTATAATCCTTTGGATATATACCCAGTAATGGGATTGCTGGATCAAATGGTATTGCTATTTCTAGGTCCTTCAGGAATTGCCACACTGTCTTCCACAATGGTTGAATTACACTCCCACCAACAGTTTAAAAGCGTTCCTATTTCTCCATGTCCTCTCCGGCATCTGTTGTCTCCTGATTTTTTTAATGATCGCCATTCTAACTGGTATGAGATGGTATAGTATTTAATTTCAGCAGGTGAAGGGAGAGCAGGAATGTCAAACTCCTGGTGTCTCACTCAGCACAGGTCCTGTTCCATGAAGGATTTTGGCTTTGAAAGCTCTGTGGCTCCACCCAAGGTTGCAAGGATGTATGTCAACTGAGCAGAATGAGAGCAACAGGCCCAAGAATGGGAAAGGGTTATGACCACTAGCCCTGCTACTATATGTTCAGATAATTTTTATTCATCAAGAGAAGCTAAAAATTTATATCTCCTTTATTCTTGATATTTCAATGCTTTCTAAAAGTTGTTCACAGCCTGAGGATAGCTAGTTTGCAGCATCTGTGCTTTAATAGTAGTCACAGCTAATCCTTATGCAAAACTCCCTATAAACCGGGGGTCCTTCTAAGTATTTTACACATATAACCTCATTTCATTCTCCTAATAACCATTTGAGGTAAGACCTTTTTATCCCCATATTTAAGATGAGTAAACTGAGGCACAAACAAGTCTATAGTTTGCCCCAGGTGGCACAGCTGGCAAATGGCAGAGGTAGGACTTGAACCTAGAAAGTCTGCTCCAGAGTTCACACTCTCAAACACAAAGATGTTTCTATAAGAAAATTTCCCCTTCAAAGAGCTAGTTATAAATATTTGATCAACTGTAGAACTAAATCAGCTAATCCTAGCCCTATGCCTACTGATATATTTCAGGTAAACATTTTTCCAAAGTTATTTTTTAAATTTTCCAGAAATTAATGAACCACCAGTGTTTCTTTTTTTTTTTGAAACGGAGTTTCGCTCTTGTTACCCAGGCTGGAGTGCAATGGTGCCATCTCAGCTCACCGCAACCTCCGCCTCCTGGGTTCAGGCAATTCTCCTGCCTCAGCCTCCTGAGTAGCTGGGATTACAGGCACGCGCCACCATGCCCAGCTAATATTTGTATTTTTAGTAGAGACGGGGTTTCACCATGTTGATTAGGATGGTCTTGATCTGTTGACCTCATGATCCACCCGCCTCGGCCTCCCAAAGTGCTGGGATTACAGGCGTGAGCCACCGCACCCAGCCACCAGTGTTTCTAAAGGGCCCAATTTGAAAGAGAAGTTATTTTGGAAAACTGAAGTTTATTTTTATTGAGTATTTTCTAATCATAAAACATCATTTTGAAAAAAAAACACATTTTTTTGTGTTTTAGCTACCACATCTCATTTTGCTTTTGAATAATTTTTTATTGAGAAATAGTGAACTGAAACCAGAAGCCAACCTAAATAGTGATTTCTAAGTTTTATTTGAAAATTGAATTCATACTTTTTAAAGATTTTTTTTTTTTAGATAGGATCTCTCACTCAATCACCCAGGCTGGGTGCAGTGGCACAATCACTGCTCAGTGCAGCCTCTGCCTCCCAGGTTCAGACGATCCTCCTGCCTCAGCCTCCTCAGTAGCTAGGACTAGAGGCACACACAGCTACATCCAGCTAATTTTTTTTTCTTGTAGAAACAGGGTTTTGCCATGTTTCCCAGGCTGGTTGAACTTCTTAGATCAAGTTATCCACCAACCTCAGCCTCCCAAAGTGTTGAGATTACAAATGTGAGCCATCACACCTGGCCCATAAATACCTTTTCCAAAAACTAGTGGCTCATCTTATATTATACTTTAACTCTTCAAAATTTTGCACTTTATTATCTAATTTTATATTCATATCAATTTAAATTTAGTTAACTTAAATATGAAAACAAAGAGGCTAGAGACTGCCTACTCCTTGTGTGGAAAATAAGGAAGTGTCTGGTATGTACCATGTGGATGTGCTAGCACCTCACTATGTGTGGAAGCCTTTTAATTTATTTTAGTTTCACCTGAGAAGTCTGGTAGCTACTTCAGGAAATAGAATTACCAGATCATCCTTTGAGGAGAGTATAATGTAAAGTTGTCTCAAAACCTGCATTCAACGTGGCACTCAAAGTCACCAAGTCAGACTTCAACAATTCTAACTATTAACATCACTATCTCTGAGCATTTTCTTCCCATTCCTAAATTTTTAAAACAGAGATTGAGATCATTATCTCAAAAATGTTTATCATGAAGTTTAGATCATATGAAATACTGTATAATAATAGTATATTGCCTCAGACACATTTAATTGGGCACTAAAACGTTTGAGTATATTATTTTTAGTATCTAGTGACAATGGCTCATATAATGAAAATGATCATCATTGTGATTGTTCAAATTTATTTATAGAGGGCTCTGAGTAAATTCTGTTGATCTTTCTTAATACTATACAGGCCAGGCTAGTCTCTACATTTTGCAGTAGGAATTTAATTGTGTGCATTTGTGTGAGGTAATGCAGTACATGTAACGTATTTAATATTCTCTCTCTGTCTCTCTTTCTACACACACACACACACACACACACACACACACACACACATACACACACACACACATATATATAATACAAAAATGTCCACGTTATATTGGTAGATTTTTCAAAGTAAGTTTATAGTGAGCATTTTTCCCAATCTTTTATTTTCTGGCCTGGATGCTTTAAAACAGCCAAAAAATTAAATACAGTGTCCATGTTGCAATCTGGTTATCCTCTGTAAGGATAGACATCTATAATAACCTTAAAAGATTTTTAAAATTATACAAAATAGGTGAAATATTACACTAAAAGCAGTAACATTTCTTACCAGAAAAGCTTGATCTAACAGTTAAAAATGTCATTAGCCTTCATGGAAGATAGGAATATGCTCTCTACTTCACCAACAAAACATACAATATAAGTTTTCTTCTACAAAATAAGTTCATATTTTGAAAAGCCATACTTCTAGAGCTTTGATTTACATTTCTGATGGTGGCAATTAGGAAATTAGACTAAGGACATTAATGAATCTAAAGGATAGTCGTTTTGAGTCCAATAGGGATATGAAAGCAGTACCCTACCAAAAGATTAAACTAACTTCACATAAAGTTTCCAGTAGTCTAGAAGGTGACATCAACGTCTGAACAGTAATAGTAGTAGTGATTCTTTATTAAGCCTTACTAATTATGTGCTGCAAACTTTATATGCAGTTCATAACTTGCAGTGGAAGACAGCATTTGTATAGTGTAAGATAACCTGTTCATGACTGTCCTTGTCACAACAGTCTCTGTGTCCTCTGCAATTCCAGGATGAATATGAGTAACTGCAGTTGTGTGTTTTACACTAGTGCAAAAACATTAAAATTAATGAAAAGGCAAAACAATGTGCTTAATGAATCCCTCCCCTCAAAATTTAACACGTGTCATTTTTTAAAATGGTTAAGAAATAGGTTAACTTTCTGTACATCATAAAAATTTCTTTGGCTCAAGCCTCCGCTAGAAAACCTAAGACAAATCTCACTGGATAACACTGTCCTTCAACACATGCAAACCATGTGGTGACAAAGCAAAAATTTAAAAGCAGCACTATTTGAAAGTGACCCCAGTCAAGGCACCCGGACCCACCAGTTACTCACAAGTAGTTTGTTTCTTGCCCTTCCGGTGGTGTGCACTGTTTTCAGAAGGTTGACTGTTCAATCTCCAGTGGTATAAGCCTATTACATCATATCTACAAGTGTTACCCTGTAGATAACATGTATCTGCACCTTTCAGGGATGTTAATTGTAAGGAAGAAACCTAAAAAATTCCTTCTGATAGAATGACCCTCCATCAGGTCCAATTCTTTCCAAAGAAACCTCTCTTATAGAGAGTCCCTGTGTGGGGAAGAAACAACTACATTCAGTGTATGCAGAAGTATGATCCTCCATACTTACTCCAAAGGTCTACTTCTTCACTATTAAAGCTCCATCTGTGCCTGATATTGCCTATAAGGTCACCACTATCATCTCCAAATTCGGACTTTTGGCTCACTACAGCTCCAAATCCTCCTTAGAACAAGCAGGTATGATTCCCTGAAGTGCCACCATGAAAGAGTGTCAAAGCATTAATGTTCCTCACTAACATAAGATACTGGGGAGCATTATTAAATTCAAACACAGATGAACAACAAAAGGTAGTTCTCTGCCCCAGAATTTCTACTCCTTCCCTTACCCCATGCAATTTCAGCCAGTAAACAGCTTGGCTTGCTTTATACAACTAGGGTCTCGCTCTATTGCCCAGGCTGGAGTGCAATGGTGCAATCATAGCTCGCTGTAGCCTCAAACTCCTGGGTTCAAATGAGCCTCCCACCTCAGCCTCTCAAGTACTTAGAACTATAGACACATACCAGCATGCCCTGCTAATTTTTTAAAAAAAGCTTTTTTGTAGTGGCAGAGTCTCACTCTGTTGCCCAGGCTGGTCACATACTCCTGGTCTCATGCAATTCTCCTGCTCAGCCTCCCAAAGCACTGGGATTATAGGTGTGAGCTACTCCACCTGGCATAGCTGGACATATTTACTGCACAAATACTAAATATTTGAGTCACCCCTACTACCTTCTCCTATGACCTGGCTGATGCCAGCACTTAAGGGTAAGTGAGAAGTTTGAGGAAGTCATTGAAAACTCAGTAGACACTCAGGCCTTCAGCTGGTTTTTCTTCCAATTGAGCTGGATCCATGGAGACAGAGTGAACAGCACTGGACAGGAAGCCAAGCTTAGCTAGGTAGCACAGAGGTCTTAGATAAAGCAAACAAAGCAGGGCTTTGTGAGGTGACAAAAAGGAAATGAGCAAAGTCACACCCTAAGCCTATCCTCCAGGCAGTCCAGTGAGCAGGAAACAAAGCCACAAAACCAATGGCCCCAGTGTTGAGAATATACCATACAGGTGGTCAGAAGGAAGTTGAAGTTAAGTTCTGCCTTTTAACCCACTTCAATGTATTTTAATAGCCTATAGTTACGCTCTAAGAAAATAAGGGATGGGCTTTCTTTCTTTTAATCTTATATTCAACATCACATATTCATATATTGAAGCTCTTTTTAAAAATAACTTGAGTCTAATCTTACAAAGTGTTTTCTTATATTAACAAATAACAGTGCTATTTATTTTAGAATCTGAAAACAATAAAAGATAACTTAAAGATTTAGCATTCTGCCCAGAATCTCCTTGTCACTTAGCAAGGATAAACCCAAGCTTTCAGATGTTAAACATTTTGCCTATTCTCAAAATGCAGAGAGGCCACTGTTGAGAATGAGGACTATGATGGCATTTTAAACCAGAATACTTACTGAACACCTAATATTACCTAGACAATAAGGAAATCACATCTGATCTAAACACTAAGGATATTACTATCAATGTTGAGTAAGGCAAAGAAATAGAATATTTACAAACAATTAAAAATTAAATTATGAAATAAGATTTTTTGTCATAGACATTTGGAAAAAAGTTGAGTGTTTATATGTATGTGTGTGAACACGCACAGTCATGTACTGCATAACTTGACATTTTAGTCAAAAACAGACTGCATACACAACAATGCCCCCATAAGATTATAGATATGAAAAATTCCTTTCCCCTAGTGACACTGTGCTATCAAAATGTTGTAGCACAACACATGACTCATGTGTTTGTCATGATGCTGGTATAAACAAACCTACTGTGCTGCCAGTCACATAATAGTATAGCACGTACAATATGGATCTTACATAACACCTGATGCTAAATGACTGTTATCAGTTTATGTATTTACTATGCTATACTTTTTATCATTACTTTAGAGTTTATTTCTTCTGCTTATTAAAAAATAAGCTTAAGTGGATAACAGCCTCTGGCTGATCCTTCAGAAGGAATGCCTTCCAGGAAAAGGCACTTAGAAATGCCTTCCAGGAAAAGGCATTCAGGAATGCCTTCCAAGAAAAGGCATTTAGGAATGCTTTCAGAAAAGGCATTTTTGTCATAAAAGAAAAATCTACGGGTCATATCATAGGAGATGACAGTTTCATGTGGGTTATTGTCCCTGAAGGCCTTCCAGGGGGCAACATGTGGAAGTGAAAAACAATATTTTCCACTAGCATAGGCCTAGGCCAAGACAGGAGTTTGTGTCTTTGTTTATAGAAAAATAGTTTTAAAATAAGACAAATTAAAAACAGAAAAACCATGTGGAGTAGGAGTGTCAAGATATAAAGGATATAAAGAAAATATTTTTGTGTGAACATTAGAGAGTGTATTTACATAAACCTAGATGGTATAACCTATACGCATCTAGGTTATATGGTATAGCCCATTGCTCCTAGGCTGCGCAATGTGTTTGTGTTTAAGTGTTATTATGAAATAGTCAAAAGGTTTAAAAGCATTGAAAAGTTTATAAACTAAAAAAGCTACAGTGAGCTAAGGTTATTAAAGAAAGAAAACTTTTTAAATAAATGTACGGTAGCTTAAATGTACATTGTTTATGAAGTTTACAGTACAGTACAATAATGTCCAAAGCCTTCACATTCACTCACCACTCACTCCCTGACTCACCCAGAGCAACCTGCAGTCCTGCAAGCTCTGGTCATGGTAAGTGCCCCAGACAGGTGGACCACTTCTAAAACCATTTAGAGTATTTTCACTATGCCTTTTCTGTGTTTAGATACACACTTACTGTTGATTACCTATAGTACTGAATACTATAGTACTATATAATATACTAATATTTAGTACTATAGGTAATTGTAATACAGTCTATAATTGTAATATAGTATTCAGTATTATAGCTAATTATAATACAATAGTATTTGTGTATCTAAACATAGAAAAGGTACAGTAAAATGCTGTACCTTTTTATTAACATGCTGTACAGGTTTGTAGCCTAGGAGCAATTAGGCTATACCAGGTAGCCTAAGTGTGTATAGGCTATACCACCTAGGTTTATGTAAACACACTCTATAATGTTCACACAAAAATGAAATTTCCTAATAACTAATTTCTCAGAACATATTCCCCATTGTTAAGGGATATATGACTCTGTACTATACATATACAGTAAAGAACCATATGTATATAGTGCATATATATGTACTCGCTCTACAGTGCTTAACTGTATAGTCATATAGTACACAGTCATGCATCACTTAATGATGGGATACACAAACACACACACACACACACACATATAATCATATGTATATACAGATGGCCCCCTGGTGATCATGATTTAACTTAAAATTTGTTGACTTTTTGATAATGCAAAAGCAATGTTTATTGAGTAGAAACTCTGCTTCGAGTACCCATACAGCCATTCTGATTTTCAGTTTCAAAACGGTATTCAATAAATTATGTAAGATATTAGAATAGGTTTTGTGTTAGATTATTTTGCCCAACTGTAGACTAATATAAGTGTTCTGAGCACATTTATGGTAGGCTGAGCACATTTTTGATATGTTAGGTGTGTTAAATGGATCTTCCACTTACAATATTTTCAACGAAGGATAAATTTATTGGGATGCATCCCCATCATAAGTGAAGGAGCATCTGTATATAGGATTGAGTGTCTAGATACTGTTTCAGGAAGGATGCAGGAAGATCTAATTGGTGTGTAAGCAAAGAATAATAGCCAAGAAATCCTCAATCCCCGAAACAACCCATTCAAAGGAAGAGAAATAGGAATGAATATAGTATGCGTGAAGAGACAATGAGTGAAATTAATCTGAGCAAATGAGACTGCATATATTAGATAGCAATGAAAAATAAATCTATGTAGGTCAGGTAGTGTAAGTCTTATGTACATCGCCAAAAACTTGGAATTGATGTCAAGAGGACTTTATAGATTCTGTAAGAGGTGCTGACACAATGGAAGGCATGTTTTAGGATACTATGCAAGATAGGTTTGGAAAAGGATGACTTAAGCCATGCACATTAGCTATAAGGCTAAACTGATCATTCATACATGTTGTCATAAAGAACTGACTAATAGAACACTCGAAAAGGAAATGAAAGGGTAAATTTGAGCAACATTCAAAAAGGAGGAAACCTAAGTCCCAAATAGACTGGATATGGAAGAGAAAGACAAGATATCAAAAATGACTCCAACAATCCTTTATAAATAGGGATGCCTACAGAATACTACTAGAACCTACTGAGAGAAATGGCGAGGTTGGGAAATGTGGCTTTGGGTAAGGGTGGGGTGGGACTTCATTTTTTTATTTACTATAATTCAAAGCAATAACTATGAGCACTCAACACTTTCCTAAATTGCCATCAATGGGGGAAAAAAAAACATTTTTCTAGTTCTGAGGAGCTTTTAATATAGTTTGCCAAAAATGCAATGCAGACTGGTACATGAAAAGAAACAAAATTAAATGTGAAAACTGTGATAGTGAATTAAATGCTGTTTTTTTAATCACTGATATAACTGAAAATAAAGGACTAAGACAGGAAATGGGGGCAGTGGATTAAAATGTCACAAATGGAAAGCAGGATGCTGAATCTTGAGTTATGCATTGAAAGATTAAAGATAGAGAAGGAAGAACTGAGGCGGAGCCAGCCATAGCAGAATCTGCTGAGCTATCACAATGGGCCATGTGGCTAGGGAAGCTACAGAAGTAAATGTGATCCTAAGTGAAAGGAACAAGCAGTGGAGAAAAGCCTGCCTTAAAGAGAAATTTGCAACACACTAGCCTAGAATCACAAACTAGGGAATAATCTTAAAAGAGGCAACCTTACAGTACTAATTTTCTTGTTTCCTAACACAAGTATTATACTGACAACGTGCTTGCTCTAGGCCTATTCTCCATAGAGATGGAGATCTTGTCAACACTTTCCGTCCTATTTTTAAAAAATAATTACTGTATTCAACACTTTCCCTTAAAAAATACCACTTGTTTGAATTGCTATAGAAAGTTGTACACTTAAGAAAAAATTTTAATAAACTATAAGCAGGTAGAATTCTACTTTGAAATCTACACAGTTCTCTGAGTGGGGTAAGAGGAGTGTAGAACAAAGTACTTTTAAAAATTTAAGCTACTGGCCTGGTGCGGGGTTTCACGCCTGTAATCCCAGCACTTTGGGAGGCTGAGGCAGGTGGATCATGAGGTCAGGAGTTCAAGACCAGCCTGGCCAACACGATGAAACCCCGTCTCTACTAAAAATACAAAAATTAGATGGTTATGATGATGCGTTCCTGTAATCCCAGCTACTTGGGAGGGCTGAGGCAGGAGAATTGCTTAAACTGGGACCTGGGAGGTGGAGGTTGCTGTGAGCCAAAATCACATCACTGCACGCCAGTCTGGGCTACAGAATGAGACTCCATCAAAAAATAATAAATAAATAAATAAGCTACTACCTGTAATCTCAGCACTTAGGGAGGCCAAGGCAGGTGGATCATTTGAGGTCAGGAGTTCAAGACCAGCCTGGCCAACATGGGGAAATCCTATCTCTATTAAAAACACAAAAATTAGCCAGGTCGTAGTGATGCACGCCTGAAATCCCAGCTATTTGGGAGGTTGAGGCAGGAGAATCACTTGAGCCTGGGAGGCAGAAGTTGCGGTGAGCCAAGATTGTGTCACTGCACTCCAGTCTGGGCAACAGAGTGAAACTCTGTCTTAAAAAAAAAAAAAAAAAAAAAAAGGAAAAGGAAAAGGAAAAAAACAAATTTAAGCTACTGTGCAAACCAGCACAGAAATAGAATTCTACTGCAAAGTGAAGGGAAAGAACACATGGTTAATCAATAAAGGTGATGAGTTCTGCAGAACATGGAGTGGAGCTTCAGTGCTAGTATTTCAGGCTTGACGATAGCTAGTAACAATGTGGTCTCCACTGGCATACACAAATTAACTTTTTAAGTATTGTAGAGTGTCTCGCAATGTTTATATTTAGAAAGTGCCTGAGTTCAAATCCTGGCTTCTCTACTGTTTACTTCAAAGACAAGAAAGTTATATAATGGCTCTAAGTTTTCATCTGCGAAATTGAGGAAATATTATCTGCCTCATCTAGTTGTTTTCAGTATTGATTAAAATGCTATTTGTGAATCACTTAGCATGTTGACCA